TTGGTAGTGGTCAGTATTGCGAAACTCTGGAGATCGGCCTCTGTCCCGCTCTGCAAGTTCCATATTGGTGGCCATAGTTGTTCTCACATTTTGCTCATTGGTAAAGGTCAGCTTTGGGGGCAACTCTGGGTCGGGCGCACTGCCGCACTGCCGCACTGCATCTTCCATCATCCTGGTCGCAGGATGGGCAAGTCTGCGTTCTCAGTCAGTGGTGCAGTGCAGCATGGACGGCATTGTGGTGGCTTCGTTCATAAATGTACGCGGGATTCACTTCCCCTGCTTGGACGCGGCCTTGCCGTCCTGCGCCACCCCGTCGGCGCCCAGGGGCGTTTGTTCCTCAAAGCGAACGTGCAACACCCGCTCGCCCTTCTCCGAGACGAGCCTCAGGTCGTTGCCGATGTCGGCCACCTCGGCGATGGCCCTGCGAACTGGGACGGGGCCAGCAGCCAGGGCCTCCAACGACGCGTCGGCCTGCAGCTGGCCCTCCGTGGCCCCATCGTGCTGCTGCTGGGCCTCGCACCTCGCGCCAGGCACGAACTCCGCCACATTGGAGTGCAGCGGCGCTGGCATACGTCGGTTCATCTCGCTTCTGCCCGCGCCCAACAAGGAACTCAACGCGCGCCCGTCCAGGGGCTGCCGCGGACCGCAGCCCTCAACACTCTCCAGAGGCGCGGTGGGTTCGGTCCCGATTGGTTGGTAAGCATTGACAGATGCACTCCGGCACCGCCAGGGGATGCCGCCCCTGTGGCATCGCAGGCGGCCGTCTGGGCTCCCCAGGCGGAGGGGCATGCCGGACCATGCTGCCGCCCCGAGGTCGTCCTCCGCGGCGGCGAGGGCCTCGCTGGCCACCCCGACCAGCTTCGCCGCCGTCACCTCCTCGCTGAAGGTGGGGACTGGCCATCGCTCGGACGTCCATTCCCTGCGTTTTTTTTCGGTTTCGTGCGTGGCTTTCTCGCCAGATGATCAAGGATGCTCCTCGAGGGTCCTCGCCGAAGGAAAAACAAGCACACGTCCGAGCGATGCCAAGGGGAAGAGCACGCCCAGGGCGTCGGCGAGCCCCCAGTGAGCCGCGCTGGAGGCCCGCGCGGGCCCCCGCACGCGGCGGCCGCTGAGCGCCCGAGCTCGCGAGAGGCCCAGCTCGTGCCGCCGCGCTGCCTCCCGGAGCCGCCGCGCCAGCATGCGAGAGCGCGGGCGGCAGCGCGGCGCCCAGCCAGACATCAGGCCTCTTGCGCGCTCCCGACGCGCCGCGGCGGGCGCGCAGCACGAGGACCTCCTCCTCCTCCTCCTCCTCCTCCTCCTCCTCCTCCTCCTCCTCCTCGATCCTCCTCGATCCTCCTCCTCCTCCTCCTCCTCCTCCTCCTCCTCCTCCTCCTCCTCCTCCTCCTCCTCGATCCTCCTCCTCGATCCTCTTCCTCCTCCTCCTCCTCCTCCTCCTCCTCCTCTTCCTCCTCCTCCTCCTCCTCCTCCTCCTCCTCCTCCTCCTCCTCCGCCCGAAGCACGGCTCACTCGAGCCAAAATAGCCACGGACGGTGAGGGCATTCGGTGAGGAACGGATGGACCAGGAATACAGGGTCTGGGAGCCGGCGGAACACCAACTGAGAGGCTTGGCCACGGAAGTCACCACCGCCCCCATCCGAGAAGGAATCCTCCAGGGTCCTCCTGCGCACATTCCCTAACCGGCGCCCCCACCGCAGCATGTGGTGATGGCTCCGCGATCGACCTCGTCTTCTTGTTCCGTCCTGTCCTGTCGTCCTATCTTGTCCCTTCTTGCCGTATCCTGCCCTCCCTCTGACCTCCGCAGGCGCAGCCCAGCTGAGACGCCCAAAAGTCCCCTCGATCCTCCGACCTCGAAGGTCGGCGCCAAAACGACGCTGGCAACGACGGCCACGACGGCGACGGCGACCGCAGCGGCAGCGGCCACGAAGACGACGAGGGCGCTGGCGACGACAACACCCCCAAAAACCGACTTCGCGGAGAAAGAAAAACATCATCACGACACATTGCGACAGGAGCTCTACAGTCGGACTCGATTGGAGAGGACACGCGAGAGGACACAAGACCCTTCCGAGGGCCACGTCGCCATAGGAATGCAGGAGGCACGGGTCGCAAGACACAGGACACGAGGGCACCCGTGATCTGGCAAGGTCGACCAACTAATCCGGGCCGCCTGTAGACCCCATCCTTCTGCGGCATACTCTTCCGAGCCGGATGGACCTTCGATGGCCCCAGGGCCCGAAACCCGGCAAAACTGCTCGCTGTCAAAAAGTACAACGCCAGGATCTCAGGGCCCGTTGAACAATGCCCCCCTGCCGTTGGTGTTCGGGCTCTGGGCTCTGGCGGCCGCTCAGAACGGTCTGGGCAGCCTGGGAACTCCCGCGGCGAGGCGCTGCCGCTGGAAGGCATCCCGAGGCTGGAACACCGCCGAGAGCCTACGAAAGCGTCGCCCGACGACGAAAGGAAGGACGACGACGAACACACCAAAGCCGAGGACGAGCTCGACAGCAACGGCCACAGCGGCGGCGACGACAGCGACCGACAGCCAGCAGCTTGGAGGCTGCCAAGGGTCTGATTTCGGGACCACAGAAAATCCGTCACGGAGGGGGGCTGGTGCCGAATCCTCTCAAAATCGGTCCCCGGACCCCTCCCGGGGACCGTGTGGTACAATTTGCTTTCTTGTTTCAACACGTTATTTTTGAGAGGGGGGAAAGGGAAGGTCAGGGAACTCGCAAAACACCGCATCTCTCCATGCCGACTGCCTGTCGCACGCAACCCCACACACGGGTCCGTGTGGTACAATCCCACCATCCCTCCGGGCGTCGGTGGTTTAGAACGTTTCCTCTTCCACCCCTCCTTCTTCCCCTTCGGGGAAGGGTTATCACAGTTCCCTAATAATAAACACCCCCTCCCCCAGGCGACTGGGGGCCAGCCAGGGTCCATGCCGACCCCCCCTCACCATCCCTTGTAAAAAACCATGCAAAACACACTCTGCCACCAAATTCTGACATGCGCAGCCAACCCGATGCAGCCCCCCCCAACATCCCTGTCAAAAAACAATACAGAGTACACTTGGCGGCGGCGGCGGCGGCTGCGGCGGCTGCGGCGGCGGCGGCGGCGGCGGCGGCGGCGGCGGCTGAGGCGGCGGCGGCGCGGCGGCGGCGGCGTTAGAGTACACTTGGCGGCGGCGGCGGCTACGGCGGCTGCGGCGGCGGCGGCGGCGGCGGCGGCTGCGGCGGCGGCGGCGGCGGCGGCGGCGGCGGCGGCGCGGCGGTGGCGGCAGCGGCTGCGGCGGCGGTTTGGCAGCGGGGGGCGGCGGGGGCAGCGGCGCGGCAGCGGCGGCGGCGGCGGCGGCGGCGGCGGCGGCGGCGGCGGCGGCGCGCGGCGGCGCGGCGGCGGCGGCGGCGGCGGCGGCGGCGGCGGCGGCGGCAGCGGCGGCGGCGGCGGCGGCGGCGGCGCGGCGGCGGCGGCGGCGGCGGCGGCGGCGGAGACGGCGGCGGCGGATTGGCCCCCAGTAGCTGCCTATCCCAAGACGACTGCTGAATATGCTGAGGCTCGGGCCAGACTCCGGTGCTACGTATGTGTTGGGAGGGCGGGTGGGAGTGAGCGAGACGGCTTGCGGGCGGGGAGGGGGTAACTTGACCCCTCCCCCTAACCCCTTCCCTGGACCTGGACGGGGGGGTTCGCGAGGTGTCGGAGCGTCCAAAACGGTCTCGGCGAGGAAGCCAAAATCATTGGTTTTACTATCCCATTTTGGCCTCCTGAGGGGGGGCTGTAATTAGTACCCCCCCTCCTGTGATCGATCTCACCCAAGATGGCCCAAAGATGGCCCCCAATGCTCCCAAGGGTGCCCCAAGAGAGCCCCAAGAGGTGGCCTGGAAGCCCCCAGAGGCCCCCAGGATGCCATTGATTTCACAAAGGCTTTAGCCACATGTTGGCCTCTTGGGGGGGGCACTGATTAAGATGACTCCAAGAGCGCCTGGGAGAGCCCAAGATGACCTCCAAGATGGCTCAAGATATCCCAAGATGTCTCATAATGGCTTCCTCTTTGTGCTGCCCACTTCCCTGATCGAGGCAATTCCTCTGGGCATCGTTTCTGGACGGGCTGGTGGGGATTCGCGACGCGTCAACCATTTATCACGACCCCCTGGCCCGAACACAGCCACAGGATGCCGATGAGAAACAAGCCAAGAGCAGGAACAAAAAGCCTTCCCGAACCCAGAAGACCTCGAACCTGCCCGCCCCTGCCGCCGGCCAGAAAGCCAGTGCTGGGCCACCTCGGACCTGGGACGGGACCAGGACGAGGAGAAATCCGCTCTGGGGCGCTCTGGGAAGGCCGCGGCGCCCGAGATATCCTCCAGAGCCGCGTGATCTCAGAGATTCTCGATTGATCCTCACCCAGTTGCATCCTCGTCCTGGTTTCGTCTCCTGAACCTGGCCTCGCCTCTTGAACAGGGACCCGCCGTCCCAGCATTCCCGTAGGCCTACCACAAACTGCTCTTGGAACCCAAGCATGCTCCAAGAACAAAAGCAATGTTCTCGGAGGGTCAACTCGATGTACTACAGCAAGACAGTCCCAGCCAGACATGCTCTAAGAACGTTTCGTAGGAACCACAAAAGGTTCCTAGAACACTGTTTGGCGGGCCGGTAGGCAAGCCAAGACGCTTCGCCACTGCTCGACTCTTGAGACCCCCAGGCGGCTCCGACCCCCGGGGACCGGCCGCCCCACGCGCGACGGCGGACACACACACAAACACACACACACAAACACACACACAAACACACACAAACACACACACACAAACACACACAAACACACACACACACAAACACACACAACACACACACAAACACACACACAAACACACACACACAAACACACACACACAAACACACACACACACCCACACACACACAAAACACACACACACAAAAAAAAACACAAACACACACCCACACACACACACACACTCACCGGGCGCGCGGGGAGGCACTGAGCGCCCGGCGGCCAGGCGCAGCACTCGGAGCCCACCTCCCGGGCGGCCGCTGCGGCCGCTCCCTGCCCCTGCAGCTCCAGACTAGAGCACTGTTTGGTAGGGCTACAGGCGAGCCAGGACGCCTCGCCGCTGCTTCTCACTTCTGCTCGTGCCGTCCGCTCGCTCCGCGCGCCCTCGTGGGGCCGCGGCGGCTCCGGGCCGGCCGGCCGCTCGGGGAGGCCGAGGCGCTGCCGGTGCACTCTGGGAGGGGCGCCACCCGCCTCGGGGCCCCCGGCTGCCCACGCGGCGACGCGAGTGGCAGGTGGCGCGGCGATGCTCAGGTCGGGCATGCCCTCAAAGGGTTTGAGATGGGCTTTCGGCCCTCAAAGGGTTTGAAATGGAACCGCTCTCTTCCCGTCTCCGCTTCCTTCCTCGGCTCGTTCCTTCTTCTCCCCTCCTCTTCCTCCTCCTCCCTGCTCCTCCGCCGTGTCTGCATCCGTGTCTTGTCATTGCCCTTCGTCTGAAGAGGTGTTGCCAGAGGTGCCCCTGGCCCGAGGTGCCCGCAGGAGATCTACGGAGGCCCCCAGAGCCTCCAGAGCACCCCGCACGAGGCCCAGAGGGCCCCAGGGGCACCAGGATGGAGCGAACAGCTGGGGGCACCTGGGGCCAGGGGTGCCTGTAACAACACCCGACCCTGAGGGGCAACGATAGGAGGGTGGACCAACTTCGAGCTGGAATCGGCAATACATCGCCGATACATCGGCGATGGGCCCCCGAGAGCGAATTCGCACGTTCCTGGACGGGGCGGGCTATCGGGCCCCTATCGGCGATGAATGGGCGACTGGGAGTCGATGCCTGCCCCCCCGAGCCTACAGGGCAGGTTTTAGTACATGGAGTTTTTAAACATATAGAGTTTTTTAATGCATGATTAATTTACAAATAAATGTATGCAGGAACTCATCGTTGTTTTTTTGACCAAATCCCTGCATGCTTAATACATGACCCGCACGCGGAGCATGCATCAAAAACGGCACTGTACCTCCCCCCTATCGCTGCCCCTGGCCCCCAGGCATGCTCGCGTCGTGCCAAAAGAATCGCGTTAACGGCCCCGGGGGGGGCCGTCGCTGGGCCCCCGGGACCGCCAGAGAGCGACTCGGAGATGGAAAACGGGCCCCGGGGAAGAGGCTCGGGACTTCCAGGGGGACACAGGGTTCCCCACGTTTCCCCGTATTTTCCGGGCTCTTCTCTTCCCCCCCAAAATGCCCATACATTTTTCCCATCATTTTTCTGGGGGATCGACGATTCGTTGTGTCTGTGTGTGTGTTTCCCCCTCCTGGCTCGGGACTTCCAACTGGGCCCCGTGTGCGGAAGCAGGTCGGCGTATACCTCGCATATATGTCTGGGCCCCCCGCCGGCCGAGGGGGGCAGGATATACCGGGCAGCACCCTGGGCGCCGGGGCGTCGCGTGCACTTTTCGTGCGCCGCGGGGCTCTGGGGGTGGCGACCTGCGATGTGCAGCAGAAGAAAAACACAACAACCCTAAACATATAAACTTTTGGGCGCTCCGCGCCGATTTCTCGGATACAAAAACCCTAAACAAACAATTTGGGCGCTCCGCGCGGAGTTCTCGGATCCCCGCTGGCCCCCCCCCCATCTCCCTGGCGCGCGGAGCGCACCAGGGGCGGCGCCGGAGGCGCCGCCAGGAGGCCCCAGCGCGGATCCAAGAACTCCGCGCGGAGCGCCAAAAGTTTATGTTTAGGGTTTGTGCTTCTTCTTCGAATACTGCACTTCTTCTTTGAGCAGGGGCCGACCGTCCCGGCATTCCTATAGTCCTACCACGAAATGCTCTTAGAACCCCAAACTGTTCTAAGAACAAAAACGGTGTTCTGAGAACATAACCCGATGTGCTAAAACAAGACGGTCTCCTCCAGAAATGTTCTAAGAACCTTTCGCTGGCCATCGCTCGGACGTCCATTCCCTATGTTTTGTTCGGTCTCGTGCGTGTTTTTTTCTTTCTCGTCAAATGATCAAGAATGCTCCTCGATGGTCCTCGCCGAAGGAGAAATGCACACACGTCCGAGCGGTGCCGAGCTCGTGGAAACCACAAATGGTTCTGAGAACATTGCTTGGCAGGGCTACAGGCGAAATGCTCTTAGAACCCAAAATTTTCGAATAACAAAAACAGTGTTCTTAGAACACAGCCCGATGTGTTAAAACAAGCCAGTCTCCGCCAGAAATGTTCTGAAAACCTTCCGTGGAAACCACAAGAGGTTCCTAGAGCACTGCTTGGCAGGGCTATAGGCGAGCCAGGACGCTTCGCCGCTGCTTCACTTCTGCTCGTGCCGTCCGCTCGCTTCGCGCGCCCTAGTGGGGCCGCGGCGGCTCCAGGCCGGCCGGTCGCTCAGGGAGGCCGAGGCGCTGCCGGTGCACTCCCTAGGAGGGGCGCCACGCGCCTCTGGGCCCCGGCTGCCCACGCGGTGACGCAAGTAGGGGGCCGCATGCGAACATGGGCCACATTTCTGGGGGGGGAGGGTGGGGTTCGCTTCGTTCGGGAGCTCCCGAGCGAAGTGAACCCCACCCTCCCCCTCAGAAATCGTGGGGGGTAGGGGTAGGGCTCGCATGCGGCCCCCGAGCGAGTGGCATGTGGCGCGGCGATGCTCAGGTCGGGCATGCCCCGCCTACAGTCTCATCTGAAGAGGTGTTGCCAGAGGTGCCGCTGGCCCGAGGTGCCCGCAGGAGTTCTACGGAGGCCCCCAGAGCCTCCAGAGCACCCCGCACGAGGCCCGGAGGGCCCCAGGGGCCCCCAGGGCACCTACAGTCTAATCTTCGACCAAAAATTAAACGCGCCCAGCAACAATAAAAGCGTAGAATAAAGAATGCTTTGAACAAATCATGCCCATATCATTTGTTGGGCCATTTTTGGATATGCCTCCTGTAGAGGGACAGGCCCGACGTAAGGCTATACATGCATGGAAGCACGCGTCCGTTTGTGATTTGGGTGCACGCTCTCACGTGGTAGGACTGCGTGATCTTCGCAGATAGGAGATGGAGCAGGAACCGACCGTCCCTGTATTCCTATGGACCTACTACGAAATTCTCGTAGAACCAAAAAGCTGGAACAACAAAACCGATGTTCTCAGGTAGTGAAGCAAACGTATTAACACAAAACGGTCTCGTCCAATAACATTCTAAGAACATCTCATGCGAACCACAAGAGGTTCTTAGAATATTGGCCTGTAGGCAAGCCCTGCTTGAGGCGAAAGGAGTGCGGAGAAGAGTAGCGAAGGAGGGAGGAGGCATGAGGAGAAAAGCAGATAGGAACAGAGGACTGGAAAGGAGGACCGAGCACTCCGGGCCTATCGCTAGCGGCCGTCGTCGTCGTCGTCCTCGTCGTCGTCGACCTCGTCGTCGTCGACCTCCTCGTCGTCGTGGTCGTCGTTGTCGTCGTTGTCGTTGTCGTCGTCGTCACCGTCGTCGTCGTCGTCGTGATCACCGCCGTGATCGCCGTCGTGGCCGCGGCCGCCACCGTCGTCGCAGCTGTTGCTGCCGTCGTCCTCGACGACGTCATCGTCGCTGTCGTCGCCGTCGTCGGCGCTGCCGCCGAGTCGTCGTCGCAGTCGCCTCTCCGCCGGCTGCCGCTGTCGTCGTCGTTGTCGCACGCCGCAGCGGCATCGGGACTCAAACCTTCTTGCTCGTCCTTCGGGAGCCCCCTCGGGGGTTTGAGTCGCCATGGCCGGAGCCGCCTCTGGATCCTGGCCCGAGGCCTCGGGCCTGGACCGGCCCTGGAGCGCGCCTCGCGAGGCGCGCTCCAGGGCAGGTCCGGGCAGCGTCGGAACGCCCCTCGGCACCAAGCTCGGGGATCTTCTAACCCGGGTCAATCCAGACCCGGGTCAGCAGGAAACCAACAAAAACTGCAATGCAGGAAAACAACTGCATTGCAGGTCTTCGCAAACCTGGGTCAGCCAATCTGCGCGGCCGCCTCGAGGCCACGAGCGGCTCGCTAACCCGGGTCAGCCAGAGGGGGTCTCCGCAGGATCCTGCAGGATCCGGTGCCCTGGCTGACCCCCGTTTGCATTGACCCCCGTTTCTTGAGCCCCGACAAGCAGGTGCCCCCGCCCCCCCGGTGTCCTCAATTTTCAACGGCGTCGACCCCCAGAGGTCTCGACCGAGTCCCCAGGACAGGCGCTCCCCCTCGCGAGCAGCACTGTTGAGGGGCCCTGGGGGCCCAGCGAGGGCCCCGGAGGTCGTGGACAGGAACAAAAAGCCACCCGCGGTGTTTTTTGGTGACGCGAAGGGATCTGGCGGAGGCGGAAGGACGGCGCGTCTCGGGGGGGGTGGCCGGCTGCGAGGCGATGCCGCCTCCGCGGCCATGCGCTTCAGCGCCTCGCTGCTGGGCCGCAGCAGCGCGACCTCACGACTGGGAGCTGCTCGCCGCCACCGCCGTCGCAGAGCTCGCCATCGCTCGGGCGCCCGTTCCCCGTGCGTTGTTCGAGACCGTGTGCTCATTTTTTCGCAGGATGGGACAAGAAGCTCCACGATGGCCCTCGCTGTGAACAAAAACCTCACACGTCCGAGCGATTCCGAAAGAGGCGGCATGTCGGCGCTCCCAGACTCCCTCGCGTCATGAAGTCCCACCAGCCCTTGGGCTGAGGTGGTCTAGCGAGTTCTACCTTTTCCAAAGCCCTCTTCCCTTCGGGGAGGGGTACCCTCCCCCTCCCCTCCCGCATCAGGTGTTTTGGAATATTTCGCGGTGTATCAGGGGGTCGTTTTTTTGTCCAAGGTGGCTTTAAGAGGGCACCCGATGCCCCGAGATGACCTCCACGATGGCTCAAGATAGCCGACGATTGTTCAAGGTAGCTTCCGACATGCCTCGAGGGCCACAGGATGGCCCCAATACTCCAAAATTCACCAACAACCTACAGGCAAGAACTGACATGTGCCTTCTCGCCGTTTCTCTTCCGATGCGCTTCTGGGGCATCAAGATGGCCCCAGGATGCCCAAGAGGCCCGCCAGACGGCCCCACGAGCGCGCCACGAGCGCCCCTGGAGACGGTTAGAAAATTCAGGACCCTCCCTTCCATTGATCGATAGCCTCCAAGATAACCTCAAGAGGCCCTGCAGGGCTCACAAGAGAGCCCAGATACGGCCCTAAGAGCGCCCACGAGCGCCCCAAAAGCGTCCCACGAGGGCTCCAAGCAACGGTCTGCATCCTCCATTTCCCCGCCTTCTCCTCCTTTTCCTCCTCCTCCGCCTCCTCCTCCTCCTTCTCCTCCTCCTCCCCTCGCCCCCCCCCCGCCCCCCCCGCGGGCCCCTGGGATGGCACAAAGAGGCCGTTCAAGACCGACCCCTTGCCCCTTGCTCACAAAGATCTCTCTGTTCATCCTGGCTGTCGGCTTTGCTTCACTAGATGTGTCTCCTCGCACCTTTTTTTCCAGTCATGCTCTCATGAGCAACGTTTCTGACTGGGCTGGTGGCTGGCGGGGATACTTTTTTGGTTGGCGGCTCCCAGGCGAAGGTCAGGAAACGGTGCATCGAACGGGGCGCAGAACGAAGATAATTAGCCGAAGAGGCGCGTGCACATGCAAAGGACAAAATGACCCCACTTAAGCACCGTAGACCGACGCCGACGTCCCGGCGGGTGGGGGGCGCCACGTCGCAACGTGCGGCGGCAACTGCGGCCAGCGTGGAGAAGTCGCACCAGCGGGCGGGGACGCCACGTCGCAGCGAGCGGCGGCAACGGCTATACGGCGAGGCCATGTGTACTGTAGCAGCGGGGAGAAGTCGCCCTGTCGGCGCCAATCTCCGGCCGACCGACACACGGAAGCGAGGCCGAGAGGGGGGCAAGAGAGCCGCTGCGGACATCAGCCGAGGCACACAGCGTCAGACAGAGAAGGAAAGGCGGCACAGAGAGCGGCCTCACTCACCATGGCTCACTGTCGCAGAACTCGGCTAAAGCCCGCCCTTGCACATGAGAGGGAAGGCGACCCAGTCAACGAACACGGGGTACCGCCACCTCCAGCCTGTGGCCAGTGCGTACATAACGTATCCGACTCACGCGGTTCGGGGGCACAACGTTGCAAGCGCTGACAGAGGCAGATGCGACTCGGGTCTGCTGCTGGCGGGGATACGCGGCGTGTGAATAATTACCATGGTGAAAGACCCAACCAGATGCAGCTACGGGAATCGCGAGGCAGGTGAAACGAAGGAGGGCCGAAATGGGCGCGGCGCCGAGGTGCGACCGCTGCCACTGGGGGCCTTCGGCGGAGCTCACTATGGGGCCACGAAGCGTGCGAGCGGTGTGGCGAAATGGGTGCGGTGCCGCCATGCAGACGCTGCCAGTGGGCCCTTTGTTGGAGTTCCCTATGCGGGAACGAGGCGGGGCGCACTGGGATTGGAACGCCCTCCCACATCGCAAACGAAAGGCGGTCGAGGAGTGGGAGTAGGAGAAGGAAGAGGAGGAGGAACGGTGGGCGAGGAAGGAAGAAAGCGGAATGGGAGGTCGAGGAGAGAAGAGGGCGAACGCGGTGAAGGGGGGAAGGCGAGGAGGGAAGAGATGAGGAGGGAAAGGCGAGGCTGGACGGGGAAGGTGATGGAAGAGGAAGGGGAGGGCGATAAGGGGATGGCGCAGAAGGAGAATGCGGAGGAAGAGGAGGATGGAGACCTTTGGATTCGAACGTGGGTTACAGTGAGGGCACTGGATACAGAAACATTGGACAAGGAATCCAGGGTCTGAAATCTGGTGGAACTCCAATTGAGGCTTGGCCAGAGATATCACTGTTGCCCTCATCAGATAAGGAATCTCCAAATGTCTGAGGCCTCCTGGGCACATTCCTTGATCAACGCACCCCACCGTAACGTCAAGCCACACCTTACGTCGGACATCAAACGGCGACTCGGTATGAGCCACAGGTCCCGGGTCGGGAGCCCCCCTGGGGGCCCACGGCCAGACAATTCTGGACGACGGACGTCTTCACTGGTAACTCTCACTAACTGCCAGAAGCCTCGGGGCGAGGGCCAACTGCCCCACCTGGCGACCCATACACAGCGTCGCAGGGCTGTCGTGCAAACTGCTGGGAGCATTTGAACATAGGCACGCTTGTGTAGTGCGTCCACTGTCGGGTGATCTGGCGGACATCGCAAACCATCTTCGTCTCAGAAGAGTGCGCCGTCGGGGCGTCTGTGACTGATGCGATGATGCAATTTTCGATGACTCCCCAAAACTATTTCCTCGTCGACCTGCCCACCCATAATACCCCGTGATACCGCCTTGGTGCAAGCCGAAAGGAATCTGCCCAGGAATCCGAGCATACTGTTTCCAAGCAGAGTCCTCACCGATTGGAAAAAAACGGGCCCGCTGAAGCACGATGAAAAATGCTTCACAAAAGGTCTGAAGATGGTGGTTGCTTTTCTTTTGTTTACGAGTGCGAGAACGACCGGCTGAGAGTGCTGATATCATCCACAACACTACGCGTCATCCTGGCAAGTGTCCAGCACGGCGCGGCGCATGAGCTTGCCTCACAAGCAATACTATGCATGTCCTCAATCACAGCTTCCGCAACACGTAAACGCTGCCCGGCACTGGGCGGGGTTTGCCGTTTTCCGCGCATTCTCCATCTGTCCGCACAGCGACGTCCTTGTGGTGCACGACACAGAATCCTGCCTTACCCGCAGCCCACTCGAGGTACTCGTTACAGTGTGCAATGCGCTGGGAAGGCCTTTCCACATAGCCTGGCCCAACACTTCTCTCAGGCTCGTCAGGATTCCAACCTGACTCCTCAGCTGTGGCTGTCTCGGTGGACATTGCGAACATGCCACCTGTCGACATCGCCAGCGCAGCCGCCACGAAGAGGTCTGTCAAGTCGTGCAGATAGATCAACACATCGGCGGCGAAGACCAGATCGGCCCCACCAACAGGCACGAACTTTCGCAGATACCGAGCCGCGTCGCACTGCTTCCAGAGAAATAAAAAGCTGTTCAAGCATAAACCTTCTGAGGTCTGCGCGGATTCCTTGGATTTGCGCATAGGCTCCGCCAAGGGCCTCAGCGCCGATCCAAGGAATCCGCGCGGACCTCCGACAGTTGATGTTTACGCAGTTGTTTCTTCTTCGAGCTTCAGCTCATCGTAGATGTCAGCCTTCTGCTCCGCCACCTCAAGCATGCCTTGCGACAAGTCACAGCCTAGCAGCCTCCCGGAGCAGCGCGCCCGCAGCCGCTGCCCGCACAGCCCCGTGCCGCAGCCCAGGTCGACGGCCGCCGTGGTGCTGAAGGCGCGGTCGCCAATGCAGGCCAGCAGAGACTCTTGAATCTCGGCAGGGATGCTTCGGGAGGCAACTCCTGATAGATCTTGAGGGGCAACGGGTATGGTGGGACTGGCTCACGGGGCGGATCATAGCTCTGGACTCGGCGGTACATCGCGGCGGCGGGCCCCCGGTTGCGAATCCGCACCTTCTTGGGCGGGAAAGGTTATCTGGCCCCTATCGGCAATCAATGGGCGATTAGGGGCCGATGCGGCCCCAACTGAACCAATCCTCCCGAACGTTGCCCCTGAGGATTTCGCTTGAACCACGGAGGGCCGTGATCGAGGGTCGACTACGTCGGATTGAACGGGACCAGTAGGATTCGCCGATGTTTGGTTTGGCCTCTCAGGCGCTGCATCCCAAGATGTTGTAAGCCAGCTGCTCTTGTAAATGCTCCTCGAAGGTGTCCGCGTAGCCATCGAACAGGTCCTCCGTCTGCTGAAGCCAATGAAGATGCAGAATGTGAGCATCGTTTAACCGATACCTATCCAAGTGTCATGGCATTGGTCCCACTGGCCAATGTTAGCTAGCGTGGGCTTCAAACAGTGTGTTCCTAACAATAAATTTGGTAATATATATATATATATATATATATTCTCATACGCACCTCTCCGAGGGAGTAGAGCTCAGAGGCGATTAATGCGCACGCGTCCGCGATTTTTCTGGCCGTTTCGCTCGGGACATCCTCGAAATTCTGAAAATCGGTGGCACCCCTCACGCAGATCGTGACGTCAGGGTCCAAAAACACATGGGAATTTCAACATTTTAACATAAAACCTTCAAAACACATGGTATTTCAATAATTTTGACCCCGATTCTCAGAGAATTGCGGTTTCGCATGAAAAATCCTCCCAAAATCGAGCCCCAGACCCCTCCTCGGAGCCTCCTGGGGGCCTCCTGGAACCTCCTGGGGCCTCCTGGGGCTTTCTGGACCTTCTGGTACCCCAGACCCCGCCTCGGAGCCTCCTGGAGTTCTCCTGGGCCTGCTGAGGCCGCCTGGGGCCTCCTGGGGCCTCCTGGGGCTTCAGAACTACATGCACACACAGAGACACAAATCACGCCCAACACATCACACGCTAGACAAACATAACATACACACACACACAACACCGACAACACACAAAAAGCACGCACCACACAAAGCACACATCACACACACACACACACTCACAATCCTGGGGCCTCCTGGAGCCTCTTCTGGTATCCAAGTCGGGCCTCCTGAGGCTTCCTGGGGGGCCCTGGTGCACACATCGCAAGGTGTGGCAACCCCACTTGCGCTCGAGTGCGACTTCGCTGTTGCATGTCACTCCTGCTTCAAATGCCCCTTCAGCTTGTTGTATGAGCCTGGGCACACACGTGCCACTTGTATATGTATATATCTCGAACCAGAGATGTGGTGCAATACATGCGGTCTAATAGATGTGGTACTCTTTTTGAAGTGCGGACTGTCTTGTGCACTCTACGTTGTGCAACATACATGATAGGACCAAACCGAACCGAGAACCCATAATCGTGAACGGAACGGACCGAACAAGCCCCAAACAAGGAAACTCAAAAACGGAGACGGACCCAATCGAATTCATTCAAAACCGAACCGGGGGGAACCGCACAGAACCATAACAGGAACCGAACCATGGTTGCAGAACGGGGCGGCCCCCGAACCGAACCGACGAGAACCGAACCGGCCGTCCCAACCAAGCCTGCACAGGACCGCAGGATGACGAACCCCCGTGACCCAACCACCCCAGAGCCCCAGGACCCTCAGGACCCAGGACGGCTCCAAGACCCAAAACGGCTCCAAGATGGCCCACGAGGGCGCCCGCAAACACCCCCCAGTCCGGACCCCCCGGTCTGGACCCCCCCGGTCTGGACCCGTCCGCGCTGGTCCGGACCCCGGCCGGTCCGGCCAGACCCCCCCCCAGTCCGGACCCCCCCCAGTCTGGACCCTCCCTAGTCCGGACCCCTCCCTGGTCCGGAACCCCCGGGTCCGGACCCCCCTCCCGATCCGGGGACCCCCCCAGTTCGGACTCTCCCGGTCCAAACTTCCTCTGGTCTGGACCCCCCTTGGTCCGGACCCTCCCGGTCTGGACCTCCCCCGGTCTGGACCCCCCCCCCGGTCTGGCTTCCCGACGTTCTAAGGTGTGCGCTTGGAGCCTTGGGTCGACTGACCGCCTTCGGGGCCTTCTGTATATACGCAAATGCATGAGAAGAGGAAGGAGCAAGGCTAAAGAGCAGGAGAGAGAAGGAAGGATAGGGAGGACGGAGGCAGATATGCGATATATGAGGCATATGTGATAGGCGTGCTATATGTGATATACGCGTTGCGTGGGATACACATGTGATGTGTGATCTACGTAATGTTTGTGGTGTGTGTGGCATGCACACATAAATACATACATACTCCTATATATATATACATGTATACACATATATATATATACATATATACATATATATTTATATGTATGTACGCGTGTAATCATAGCTATATGTAGTTATACATAGTTGCGTTACAAATGTATGCAAACATGTATGCATACATCGATGCATACGGAAAAATTGAAAATCGATGGTGGAAACCCAAAAATACAATTCCATTCTCTGGTCCCGAGAGGTGATCATGCCAATGTGGCGCGAGCGGTGCGTCTGTTTTGGTTATATATACATATATATGTGTATATATATATATATATATATATAAGGCGGGGGGGTGGATCACCCGAAACTCAATGGTGAAAACCCAATATAAGATTTCCTTCTCTGGTCCCGAAAGTCGATCATATGAAGGTCTAGCATGGAAACGCGAGCGACATGCATCGCGCGCCCCCGATGCAATTCGCATGCGTTTCCATATACTCGCCCTTCATATGGTCGCCTCTTGGGACCAGATAGTGAAATTTTGAATTGGGTTGTCACCATCGGTTTGTCAAGGTAGCATCGTGAACAGATGTCTAAGACGTAAAAAGACGCATCGCGCGCGCGCGCTGGCGGCCAGCGGGTCGCGCGCGCGCGCGATGCATGTCGTGCGCGTTTCCATATATTCGACCTTGATATGATCGACTCTTGGCATCAGATCGTGAAATTTTGCATTGGGTTTCGACCATTGGTTTTTCAAGTTCACGTCGTAAACATACGCGTAAGACCTACACAGACGCATCGCGCGCGCGCGCTGACGGCCGGCGGGTGGCGCGCGGGCGCGATGCATGTCGCGTGCATTTTCTTACATTCGACTTCACATGATCGACTTCTGTGCCCAGAGAACGCATTTTTTTACACTGGGCGATCACCCTTGAGTTTTCAACCTAACATTGCGGCCGACAGCCGACCCGCCAACCGCCGACTGCCGACCCGCCGGCCGCCGACAGCCAACCCGCCGGCCGCCTACATGAGTATGTATTTGAATATACATATACATGCATGCATTCTGTATGCATGTATGTATGTTTGCGATGGCATAGCATATCTCTGTAGAAATGTGGATGTATATGTATGTGTCTATGTATATGTATATGTATATGTATATGTTTGTGTACATGTCTATGAATAGGTATATGTATCGGAAGCTATCCACATGCATTTATATTTGTATGTGTGTATGTATACATTGGCATACATACACACATATATATATGTATACATCTATATATACATATATAAATATATGTGGTGTGTGCGTGCGTTTATTCATGCGTCCACGCGTGTGTGCGCATGTAAATGTGGATGTAACAAGAACCACCCAACATCACCTCAAGGCCGCCCGAAAGGCCTCAAAGAGCGCCCCAAGGAGGCCTACTGTCCAGGACGCGCCCAGGACTGCACACGAGGGCCCCATGACGGCCCTGAGCCAGGCCTGAGAGGGGGAACGCAGATAACAGCGCAGAGCAAACCAGCGAAAGGAGGAGGGGGAGGGAGGGGGAAGTGGGAGAAGAAGGAGAAGGAGGATGACAAGGGGGATGTCCAAGATGTCTGGCCACTGCACCCTCGGCAACTTACGCGACATTGCTGGCGCCACCCAGCTGGCGCCACGTAGTATATTCTCCGTTCTAAAAAAATAAACTCTACCCCCCCCCCCGCGTTATCGCCCCCTCTTTTTCGGGTATGTAAATCATATATGGTTTTGACAACGTGTTCATCCTAAATATGAATTTACACTATCCCAGGGGGCCGAGATCGGTCCCCCTGAGGTTCCCTTGTGAAAATCAATACGTGGGAACATTTTTTGTTCTAACATAAGACTTTCACGAACACCTTGCAAAAAATGACGACGTGCACACGCGCGCGTCGTCGCGCGCGCATGCCGAAATTCTTCAAAAACCTTCGGTGCCGCAAGGATTTCGCAATCGAGTTTCCAAAACACATACAAAAGCACAGGGTTTCGCAACACTGATTTGCTAAAAAAAGCTTACGCGCGAGTCTTGCGAAATCTCATAAAAACACCGGTCAGCTCGCCCCTTGGCCCCCCGCCAGCCCCACGCCAAGGGGCGAGCATATATACGGGCGCAGCACCGCGCTGGATGCGTAGCCGTCGGCTGGGCCAACCAAGGGAATGACGCATCGCGTGGCGGCTGGTTGCCCGCGCCGACTGCTGGCTTGACACTGCCACCGCTCGATAACACTCGATAACACATCGATAACACCTCATGCTATCGAGGTGTCATCGAGTGGTATCGAGGTGCTCTCGAGCGTTATCGAGCTCGATCACACTCGATAGCACCTCGATAACACCTCGATAACATCTCGAACACATCTCGCAAACATGTTATCGAGGTGTTATCGGGTGTTATCGTGGTGTTATAGAGCGGGTGATGGTCACCCGCTGGCTTGAAACTGCCACCGCAATATCCTCACCCGCTGGCTTAAATCTGCCTTCGAAATATCCTCACCCGCTGGCTGAAAACTGCCACTGAAAGATCCTCACCCGCTGGCTTAAAACTGCCACCGAAATATCCTCACCCGCTGGCTTAAAACTGCCACCGAAACATCCTCACCCGCTGGCTTAAAACTGCCA